CTTCAGTCCATATGTGGACTTTTTCAGTTTACACACTAGGTGTTCCTTTCCTGGTTGGATGTAACCTTCTGGTTGCTCCATGTAGATTTCCTCTTTCAGATGTCCATTTAGGAATGCAGTTACAACATCCATTTGATGTACATGTAGATTATTTTGGACAGCAAATGACAACAGTGTACGAATCGAAGTAAATCGTACAACAGGTGAAAATGTTTCATCATAGTCAACACCATACATCTGTGAGTATCCCTTAGCAACAAGTCTGCACTTGTGTCGCTCCACTCGTCCATCACTGTGATGCTTGACTTTGAACACCCATTTTGATCCTATTGTTTTTCGATCCTTTGGTAAGTCCACTAAGTCCCATGTGTCATTTTCCAGCAGTGACTCATATTCCAAGTCAGCCGCTTCCTGCCATTCCTTGCATTAGGGCTCATCATTGCTTCACTCATTGAGCTTGGTTCAGTGACACAACACACATTTGCATAATGATCAAGAGTTACTACATCAGCAAACTCGTCATATCCATAACTCTTTGGAGTTTTTCTGATCCTGCCCCTTTCTCTAGGAGCTTTACTGATAGTAACTTCATCAGATGAAGCTTCCCGTTCATCTGAGTTTATGATTACTTCATTTTCTGAGCAGGTCACTTTCATTTCCTGTTTCCAGCCAAAGTCTGATTCATTGAAGATGACATCTCGTCGAATGAACATTTTTCCTTTTTCTTCATCCCACAGACGATAGCCCTTGGCATTATTTGCATATCCCATGAACCTCAGCTTCACTGCCTTCTTGTCTAGTTTTCTTCTTTCAGTGTCTGGGACATGTGCATAAGCAACACAACCAAACACCTTCATGTGACTTATATTAGGTTTTCTGCCTGTCCATCTTTGGTAGGGTGTCTCCCTCTTTAGAATAGAAGCAGGCAGCCTGCTCTGTATGTAGGCTGCTGTTGCTACAGATGACAGCATACTTCTAGCTGCTTCAATTTAGTGTTCTGTTTTTTCTCTCTGCGACACCATTTTGCTGAGGTGCGTGAGGTACAGTCACCTCATAGTGGATACCTTGACCCTTCAGCTATTCTTGAAATTCACTGGATGTGTATTCTCCACCATTATCTGTTCTTAGTCTTGCGGCATTCTCCCCACTCTCATTAGTAAACGTTTTCTCAAATTCCTTGAATTTGTTTAGAACGTCACCCTTTTGTTTCATGAAGTATACCTTGCAGCATTTTGTATAGTCATCAATAAAAGTCACAAAGTACTTTGCTCCACCTATGGATTCAGTCTGCATAGGACCACAGACATCACTATGGATTAGCTGCATCTTGCGTTTGGTGCGGATTTCTCCCACTGACTTGTATGGTTTTTTTAGACAGCTTGCCTTCCACACATGCTTCACAGAAGGAAATTTCCTTTTTTGCAGAAAAATCCACTCCTTGTACCAGATTTCTGAGTTCCTTCAGTTTTTTGGTGTGTCCTAGACGTTGATGCCACAGACTGGTCTCCACTGATGCACTTGATGCACTATGACCATCAGGTGCCTTTTCCTCAACATCCAGTTGATACAACCCATCAGTTCTTCGGATTCCCATTCCTTTGAGAGTGCTATCTTTTCCACGAATATAGCATCGTGTCTTTTTGAACTGTATTATATTTCCTTTTCTGGTAGCAGCTCCCACTGAGAAAAGTTTTGTGGATAACTTGCGAACATACAGTACATCATACATTGTGACAGTTTTCTCATCACTGACTTTGAACGTCGTTTTCAGTTTGATGTTGCCACTTCCTAGGGCTTCAACTACTCTGCCATCTCCAAGTTTCACAGACTGAGGTTCCAAAAACTGTTGGTAGTCTTCGAGACTGTCTTTACTCCATGTCATGTGTTTTGATGCTCCAGAGTCAATCAACCACTCCTTCTCTTGTTGCATCACATTGTGATTTGACTCTTTAACTACAAAGGCACTCTCTTGTGAGTCTTTTGCATCATCACACATCATATTGCTTTAGAATCAACTTGCATTTTTCGATAAACTTGTGTTGACAAGGCTGATACACCACTGGATACAGAACCACCACTTATATTATCATTGGCATGCTCTTGTTTTTGCTCTTCATTTATTAATGCTTGTTGCACAAACTGCAGTGTTAGACTGTCCATTTTTGTTTCTAGTGCAGTGACAACTGTTGCATAGCTTGGTGGCAGACTGCCTAGCAGTGTTACTACTAGTAAGGGTGCAGTCATTTTCTTTTTTATGCATGTCATTTCCAGAGTTTGGTGTGCATTCACCTGAAAGCTCTTCCTGACTTTGCAGTATCTGGCAATAATAGTTGAGAAAATGTAAGGAAACTACATTTGCTTACTGTATATTATGCTGCACAAAACACAAAGATGGAAAGTAAATTCCTAAATCACACAAGGATTTCAGGTAAAACTAGTTCAGTGAATATAATAAATGGTGCAGATGAAAGCTTTGGATTCATATGATAAGATTTAAAATAAAATGGCTCTAAAGTGACACAAAAGCAATTGACACACCAATGTCCGCTACGCAGGGACATAAAAAATGTCACAATCAAAGCAAAGAAGTGAAGATATTCTGTATGGTTATCTACTAAAGATCATGCTCCAAATAACACTAGAACAACATTTATGGTGTTCATACTCAGTTTGTAATGTAGTCTCGTTTTGAAATTTGAGAATGAGATCAGGATATTTTCTGAGACACATAATTACACAAAAGAGCACAAAATTATGACACAACTCAGTCAACTTTTATTAACAAGTATAGCTATGGATTTACACTCTGTTTATAACTTTGTGTTTGCTTCATGTAGTTTTGTACATATTCTGTGTGTGCAAGGCAAAGATAAACATGATGGTAAAAAATAAACTCTAGCCCAGGATGAGACAGAGGCCCAAGGTTGCTGACAACACAGAGAACTGAACTGAGGTCTCCTCCTACAAAACACACACCATTCGTTACAACCACCCTGAGAGTTTTATTGACTCAATACACTCATGTTATCGCCTACAGTTTAGTGGATATACTGGTCTTTTATTAGGATCTTATCTGGTCCTGTGGTCTAATGGAATGACTGAACCTGAATAGATCTAAATGTCAAATATAGATGTGATTTAATAAATATATAAAACATGCAGAGTTTTAGTGTCTCAGGTATTAATCTGGAGATTCTGAAAGGGTTCATGTGAAAACACTAAACAAGGCAAAAGACATGCTTAGAATAAAAGTCAGACAATATTCCCACTTGAATGAGATAGGACTTGCTATAAACAGTTTAAAGGAAATGGATTTTTCAATGTATAAAATGAAAAATAGCCAGAAAATTGAGATAATTTCTTGAACTGTAATTTTTTTCAAGATGCTGGGAGCTACCACATCTCTCTGTAGTAAGAGTAAAATTTAGAAAATAAATACAAAAATCGGGATATATTGTTTAAAAAAAACAAATGTCAAATTAAGGCAAAACCTTGAGCTTTATCTACTGTAGGTTAATCTTCGCCTGGTCCAAACCCCCCAAATTGCCACTCATATTGGACCTTTTATGGAGTGATTCGAAGGTCTTTTGTTGTGCTTCTGAGAGGATGTTTCCCAGTTGTTAGAACATCTGAGCCATTGAAAACCTCAGTGATTAGAACTTTAGCTGAGATAACTAACTGTGCCAAAGGCAGGACACAACAACTCAAGGTAAATCTGAATGAAACTAACATAACTATTGAGAATGTTGTACAGTAAACTGACTGCCAACTGCAGATCAAAATGCAGTTTGCACAATGTGTATCTGGGATAGTGGCAATGTTCTTATCTCACATGAAACTAGCTACCTCAGTACAGTAATGCATCTTAAAGTATGTTTATTTTAACACGGTGTATTTCCCATAAATAAGGCTTTTGTGGCTCAGTGGGTCCTGCTGACTCTGTGCATTTGACTAATGTGATACAGCGTAATTAATATCTGCTAATGCTAACAGCTCTGTTTGGACTGAAATGACACTGAGATGATGGATGTCACAGTGATTGGTTTGGGCCAAAAATCCTCCCTCAAACAAAAGGCTATGTCACAATGAATGGCAAAATAATTCAATATATCAGTCTAATGACAAAAAATAAGCGGAAAATTAAGAAAAGATTAAAAGCAAGATTTAAAACAACAATTTTGAATCACTGCCATTTTAACATTTACTCCAAATTCCTAATTAAAATTAATTAGAGTAATAAATTTTAATCACCTAAATGAAAATCACAATGTGTCATTGAGGAGGCCTTTATTCGGAAACCTGGTCATCTGGAATTGAAAAGACATTCAAGAAGGCAAAATGAAAAGAGAGCTGTATTAGCATCTTCAAGCTATAAAGAACATCATGGAACTTCAAATGATAATGATAATGATAACATGTATAAGCAAGTGATTTGTGTCTTTGACACCTAATGTGTTGGAATCTAACATGTTGATGAACTAATGATACAAACATGGTTTTTCAACTCAGCTATCTGTTTGTGCAGCACTCACAACAGAGGTTTCACATCCACTCAGCTGATGCTCTCATCTCTTTGCTCATTTACATGATGTAAGCCGTGTCCCATTTCAGACTCAGCCACCTTGTAAGGACTCAGCTGACAACAAGTTTTAAAGGTGTGTTCAGACTGAATTTTGAAAGTGGCATATTAATTAAATGCGTGGATGTAAATGCGTGCAGATTTGTCCTTGGTCGTGCAAACTGAGGCAGAGTTAAATGTTTCAACTTGAGCAAAAATCTCCCAGAAACCCTACAGCGTTATGACTTCGTTTAATGAATTTAAGGAGAAAATGTGTGTGGACCCAGTAGCTCTTGACATCAGTCAGAGGATGAGCTGTCAATACGCACAGACATGCACTGAAAATGCATGATTAATGCATGTGTTGCTAGCTAACACAAGCCAACATCTGTATGTTTGCTGCAGCCCAGCCGACAAATGTGTGTGAATAATGGATGCTTCACACAAACCAAACTGGATGGCATAACTGGTACTCCTAATCAATGAGTTCATAAAGTTAAAAAAAAAAAGTTTATTTTAAGCAATCACCTTGAAACTAGTTATAGCCTGCAGAAGGAAGTTGTCATGGAACTTCTCTTGTTCTGGGTCTGTTGCTTGCATGCATTTCACCACTGGACTCAGCCCAAACCCCTGGCATGCCGACTGTAGAGGCAGAAGCAGTAAGATAGCAATAACAATATGCAGCAACCATATGTACTAAATAATATTTAGCTCTCAGAGTGTGGAAGGACATACCACTGACATGGGACACAGCAGTTATATTCTACAGGAGGATACAACATTCATACTCCTTTCACACAGCAGGTACCCTGCCAGTTCCTGATCTCTGTGTTGTCACAGACCTCCCTCCTCTCTCTCCCAGGTATGTCTTTTCCCCTCAGAGTTGGTTCCTGTGTATTATTCAGAGAGAGGGGGCTCACTTTGGTCTGCTGGCTCTGCCTTCGCTGTGTGCTGCTTAGAGATCCCCTCTCCTCTCTCCTGTGTGCTGTTTATCAGATCCAATGTGGCCGATTCTTTGCCAGGGGTCTCTTTTTTATGGGACAGAGGGCTCACTTGGGGCCTTACTGGAGCTTCAGATGCAGTTGTGATTGTGCTGTGGGTCTTTTCTTGGGGTGGTGGGGACACCAGCAGTTTTTCCAGAGTCTGGGCTAATGCTGGGGCTATGCTGGGCCTTTTTTTCTCAGATGTGGGGGTTACAGGAGGCTTTTCCGTGGTCTGTGATAGTGCTGGTGGCCTCTCCACAATGGATTTAGTTTTGTCAAGGGCTGCAGCTGGACTAAAGAGTTGGGGTCCTGATACTTCTTGCTGAGCCTGAGCTGTAGAGAGGAGACATCCAGAGCCTTCCTCTACTCTAGTGGGGTGCTTGGTTTCAGCTGCAGTCCCACCACAGCCCATCCTTCCTTTCTCTGCCTTTAGCTCTTTCTTCTGGACAGCTTCCTTCTGTTTGTCAGCTGTCTGTTTCCCTGTGTCATTGGCTGGGTAGATGGACAGACATACAGACACATGGAAGAATATGTTTAAATTGCCAGAGAAACAAAGAGTAGGACACATAGGAAGGACCTTATGAACATGACTAAACACCTTTCTTACCCTGCTGGGCTATTTGTGCTTCTTCCCCACTAGAAGGATCTTCAGTGCAGATGGGCAGCTCTCCTCTGTTGCCTCGGAAATGAATGGGTGACCTGTGTAACACTGCCTTCAACTCTGTGAGAAGTGGAGAAAGAGATAGAGGGCATCTGAAGGGTTGTAGGGGTTGGTGGTTATTGCAACATACATACATGTTGTACATTTTACTCAAAATGTACAAAAAATGAAGGGCTGGGAATCCTTCTTCTGAAGGCTAAAATTAAGCACAAAGGAAGAAGGTAGACTGTGAACTCTGAAATTGTTTCAGAGACAGGTACACTTTTCAAATAGCTCACAAAACAGTGCTTTTTCCTAGGTTTTCCACATTACCAACCATATACTGTATATAAAGAACTGCCACTTGAGAGAAATCTCAGGTCCATGTGGAAAGAGCATGGCTCTGTTATGTCTGGCCCCTAATATGAAGTGCTAACAGTCCACTTCAGTAGGCTAAATTATTCCCTTCTGACTGAAATGGTGCAGTTTGATTAGGAATGGGTTGGGATGGGCCAAAAGGTTCTGCCAATTTCTCAGTGCAGTTTGTTTCCTTTAAACTGACTATTAAAATCAATCTGATGTCAGTGGGTCACTTCCTGCTCTGAGGTCCATTGAATAAGCTCCAGGTTACAACTTCTTAAATACCCACAATACAGTATAGCGTTGCTCTTGGTTGAACACAAAAGCTAGAGAAATAGTTATGTACAGAACAACTGTGCTCCATTAGACAACAGGTATTGGGCTGATACAACCCGCAGCAGGTCATGTAGATTGTTGGGTTAAACTTTAATCTCTTCACAACTTTTAGATTTTGGCAGAGAAAGTGCACCTTTTCTACTGGTTCCCAAAATGGGGGCAGAATCTCCCAGTGGGTAGCAAGGTAAAATCAACATTGCATATTGCATACTCCATACAAGCATACCGACACATTTAGCTTCAGTATCACACTAAGGCTTTCTTGTCCCTTTTTCAAATTTGTGTAGCTATTATTATGGATTAATTACCATTCATTTCTTCATTTCCTTCAGCAAACCTGTAATAAAACCAAACTGCTTATTGCTGTTTATGACATTGTCATAAAAGCTACAGCTGAGAATTGGCCCAGTATCAGCCTGCATAATCTCATGTTGCAGGAATTTATTTAGGAATTTGTGATGACTTTCTTATCCCTCCACAGATTTGTGATGTAATTGAATCATTCGTTCTTATATAGGTATGCACATATTCAGGTAAACGTATACATTTTATATGCTTTATGCTTTTTGTCATTCAGTCTTTACAGTATTTAGTTATTTTGGACCATTGGACAAATCCTTACCTTGTGTCATGGCCAGAGCATCCTCATGGACAGACACAGCTCTACGCTGTGGAAGGGGCTTCATAGGTTGGTGTGGCTTAGGAAGATTCTCTGAAATATATGCAAAAGCACACATACACAAACCACACACACAAGAAAAAATGAGCTTTTCTGATCTTCATCTAGTTAAACTTTTAATTTAAACACAAAATGTGTAATGTTATAAATCTATTATGCGAATAAATCAAAGTACAAACCTAGGTAAGTGAGCAAGAGAGACTGAAAATGGGAAACAGACTGAGAGGGAATCTAGAAATGTGAGTATATATATTTTTCAGATCATAGTATGGTAAATAATGTTTTAGATGTAAATGTACCATTACATCTAACATGTAAAATTAAGCAAACCTAAATGACTGCAACATTTCGAATTAAAACATATCTATCCGTCCTTACAATGACAGAAAGGTCATGTCCTCACATGGTTCCTATGGTACTTGCGATTTTGATGGCTGTCATGTTACATCAAGGTGATAAATTCCCTGAAAATGTTAAATTGGTGTTTCTCATAAAAATTCATATCATTTTAATAATGTCAGCCCAAAGCTAACTGCACTGATATATTAGTTCAGATTATTTGGATGTAATAAGATCAGACAGATATACCGTCAGTCAGAGATTGTGCTTTTTTAGAGCGATCCTGTGCACTGGGACCCCTCCAAGGAGATGGGGCTGAAGGAAGCAGCTCTTTCCTGGGGAATGCAGCTGAGGCTGCACCCTGGGGACTGTCTTGGCTTCCATTCTAGGAATGAAAATCAGAAGGCGCTCAGTGAGCCATGACACGAACAGTTCATTATCAGAAACAGCATAGTAATTTCCATGCGGAGCAACAGAAGGCTTCACTTTGTACAGTACCATATCAGTGAGAGCGATATAATCCAGCATCATACCAATGATCACAAGGAGCTACTAAGGAGTAAGTTTTTTTATCTTTCAAACCTGATTTGCATTATTACCTCTGCCAAAGGCAGGGGTTGCTGGCATTTATTGTTTTTTTTTTGTTAACACTATAACTCAAAAAGTAATGAGCAGATTTGGATGAAATTATTTGGAAAGGTACACAGAGCAATTTATTAGATTTGGTGCTGATCTGTATCATAATTTGGATACAGGAATATTTTTAAAGTTTCTTCACCCCTGTGAGTGCTGCAAAAGGCTGTTGACTGTATGTGAGCTTCCTTGTGGTCAAAGTGCACGGCTGTGCTGCTGAGCACTTCAAGCACATACTGAGACAAGTCCCTTGGTTAATGACACCTGCCCATTCATTGTCAATGCAAACTAAGTGCTATCAATCAGTCCACCCCGCTTTGTGAGATAGGGACTGTAGGAGCCGAGTGAGGCGACAGCCCACAGCTGGGAAAGATCTATTCTATGCAGTAACAGCTGGGCGAGAGCCTGATGGCAGAGATTTTAAAACAGGCTCAGAGCTGTTATATTATATATGTAGGACTGGTATTATGGCATTTTATTAAGTTTGAACATTTATTTCAGGCAACAGAGTAACCACTTAGATTAAGACTATGTAAGATTAAGACGACCACTTCAGGTCCTGGGAGATGGTGGAGCCCAGGAACTTGTAGGACTTTACTGCTGATACAGTGCTGCTGAGCATGGTGAGGGGGGGTAAGGTGGGTGGTGGCTTTTCCTAAAGTCCACTGTCATCTCCCCTGTTCTGAGTGTGCTCAGCTCCAGGTTGTTGTGACCACACTACAGGGCCAGCGGTTCAACTTCCTGTTTGTAGGGCGACTCATCACCATCTTAGATGAGGCCAATGATCATTGTCCTGCATGTAAAGGGTAAATTATATCCCTAGTTCTATGAAGTAATAAACCATACATTATTAAGAATGAAACTGTTTATTCTGTGTAAAAATTAAACACACATAGTGCATTCTTTAGCTAACTTTGACTGTAGTCCTTATTTACGCCCTGCTGGGAACATCGCTGCTGCACAGTGGTTCCCCTCCCGCTGAAGCAATTCATACCAAGTACTCCATAACACCACCGCTGGAGAAATAAATGCTAATATCATGCAGCATGTATGATATAAAGTAAAAGTAATTTGACCATATCAATTAAAAAGCACAATAAAAATGTTTGGTGCATTTTAGGCAACAATTTGTCACTCATTTTTTGTTCATTAATACTGATCTGAAAACATCACATTTTGACTCTAGCAGGGTGGCACCAGGGGTGGCCAGCTTCACCTCCTGGCCACATCCTTGGTTCCACCCATGGTGACCATGGTGGTGGACAGACACCTATGGCAGATGGTCAGTGTCCTACAGGAAGAAATCAGAGAGAGAAGAGGAATTGATGGGGGCTGAAGCATCTGCAATAGTAAACGATGAGAAGAAGGACAACACACAGTGCAGAAAGGAATCAGTCCTGTGCCACAACAGGCCAAATCCAGAGATTAGGTCTGATGACTCAATCAGGGGTTAATCTGTGCCAGAACAAGCCAGATCCAGCACTTCTCAAATTGTCACCAGCACATATTTTGATGGACCCGGCACCTCATTTAAATATGAAACTAATTGAAGCTAGTCAGAAATCAGAAGCTAAACAGGCCAAGCTGTCTGATGCTGAGGTCGTGGATGTCAAAAGGACTGAGGCAAAGCAAGAGATAGCATGAAAGAGGACTCCTGCCCCATGAGCTTTTACGGGCTATTTTAGATAACGGAAGGTAAGAACATGTTTATTTAATGTTATTGCATGATATCATCTCTGGGTGCTTTAAATTTGTTCCTGTAATACTCTGAATATAAAGTGTAGTGGAGTAATAATATGATGTCAGGCTTGCTATTGACTGAACAGATTAGAGGCTGTAGCCTCACAGTCCTAAAGTATTTAGCATCACTCGCACTCGACATTTATAATTCCACATGAAAATGTGTTTCTTCTTGTGTGATTTACTGGTCACAACAAACACACGCACCAAATAATGTTTTGTCTCTAAACTGCTCCCTTAATGTGGAAACTACACACACGTACTGATCACTGAGGAAATGTTTTTATTTCAGGACCTCCCCACATCGGCATGTAGGGTCCTTCACCAGGTGATATTCTGGGACCTCATTATTAATTTATGCACTGGATAACACCTACAAGTATTTCCCATCAGCACCCACAGATGACTTGAGTAGTGCATTTTCTGTTTTTTATAGCTCATATATGTGAACGTTGGCTTTTCATTAATGCACTGAATGCTCATTTAACACAGTGTCATAGAGTGAAGATATTTATTTCCCCTTTGTTTGGTTGGGAAATCCTTTTAGAATATTTATTTAGGTGATTTGATTTGGTGCCAAATTTAATGTATCCTGATTATGCTGACTTGAATTTAGTCTGAGTGCAGTTAACCTTTTGTCCTGAGTGAAACTTACTGGTGTTAGGTCGCATGCCAGTCTCTGCCTCTCTCCCTCTCTTTGGGTAATTAGGTTGAGCTACTAGGTGTGGCTGGAAGTTACACAGCTGTGGCCAGTGTTTCACTTGGCTCCAAGGTATTTAGCTTGGGCTCGGCTACTTCCTCCTTGCCAGTCAGTTTGTATCACCTGCACAGCTCAGCCTTGCTCCACCAGCCAGCTCTGCTCCGCACACTCCTCCAGGTCAGCCTGGCACTACTAGCTCTTCAGTTCGTATTACCCATTCCACTCTGCTCCGTCATACTTGGCCTGATTAGCCTCGCACCTCCTTGCGGCAGCCACAGTGCACTCTGCTGAGGAGGTAGAGCAGATTGTCTCCTAACGGGAATATTAATGGTTGTATTCCCGGCTTGTCCAGTCCACGTGTCGAAGTGTTTTTGAGCAAGACATGGAACACTCAGTTGCTCCTGGTTATGTCACCGGTGCGTGAACGTGTGAGTGCTTGGGAGTGTGAATGGCCAGCCCAGCACTAGCTGCCTGCCCAGCCTCAACTCAGTCTGCCCTGCACCAATCCTGACAACCCCACTCTATGCTGGTTCTGCCAATCGACTCGCCTCCAGTTCAACCAGCCGGCCTTCCTATACCCAGCCTGTCCTTCTAGGACCTGTATCCTGCTCCTTCATCCTCCTACCCTGACACCGGCCAGCTCCTGTCTCATTCCTGTGGAGGCAACTGCCCACCCCAACATTCACCCTCCTCAGCCAATTCCCAGTGGCTCTAGTTCACCTGTACTTGAGTATCAACAAAAGGTTTAAAATGTAATTTATAGTCCCAGTCCTGCCTTTTGAGTCCAAAACCTGTGCCTGGTGGTCCATAGGCCATGACAACTGGTAGCAATCATTTCTTGCAAGCTCCACGGTGGTTCCATTCCTTAAATAGTAGAACTTGTAGTATCACAAGTCCGAGAGACATTTTGAGGGGATGTTTTATTCTGAGGAACTCACAGTATTCATAATTAATAACTAACTTTGATTTACAGTAATTGAGGAGCAGAAAGACAGCGCACTGCCCCTTTCAAACACACAGAACTTGGCTGATTGTTCTACTTTGTTTCAGCTAAAGACTTTCTATTTTATTACACATTCTATTTGTACTATGTGGTTAGATGATAAACTGTATTATTTATTTTATTGGTACTCTTTTTGTGCATAGTCATATGTAATGTAATCTAATCCAAACTAATTTTGTCTGGAAAGGCAGTGAAGGGCTGATTGTTTTTCCATCTTTCATTTTTTTATCATCATGCAGTAATGTAGTGGTTAGTATACCGTACTCAGTGTGTGTAGAGTCTGCATGTTCTCCACATGCCTGTGTAGGTTTGCTCTGGGTAATCCAGCTTCCTCCCATGGTCCAAAGACATGCAGGGTAGGCAAAATGGCAATTTAAATTGTCATAGAGTTGTGTCAGAAAGGGAATCTGGTGTAAAAACTGTGCCAAATGGTGTGTGTGGACCATGGTACTCTGCTGTGGTGATCCCCCACGTGACTGAGAACATGAACTTTTAAACATTCCTTTCCTAAACTTTAGGTGTAAACATTAAAAAACTGACACCTTTGCCACTGGGTGTAAAGTTGGAGATATTAATTATCTTCCCAGGAAAAAGGAAAAAAAAAATTGGAGTGCTATATTACCTGTGCTGTAGTCTCCCCTGGTCTGCCATCATGCATGTGTGCTCTGAGCTGGACTGCCTCTGCTGAGCTGCTAGGAGCAGAAGATGGACAAGCTACTCCCCTTAGAGGAGCAGCTAGGGTAGGGAGTGGAGGCTTGGCTGCAATGGCAGGTTTGGGAGGCAGGGGAGCAATGGGACGGTCAGGAAGTGCAGGCTTTGGGTAAAGGGGAGGGTGCAGTCGGGTGGGGTCCAGAGCTGTCATAGGATGCCTGGGGTCTGCTGGAAACAGATGACAAGAGACTGTAAATCTCACTGAAATCTCTGTTTTACCTTTAATCCAATGAGGGAGGTCCTTGTTTTAGCTGTAAACCAATGAGTGTGTTTACACGCTGTGCTTGTAATGCTAGTGCTTGAGGTGTGAAGATGTCAACATTTGAAAAATAATGAGCAACAGCTCTGCGTGTGAGAGCATTGCTTGTGCACACACTGCTTATCCTGCAGTCACACCCAGTGCGTCAGTCACACCTTAAATAAATTTGGCTGCAAAACGCTACTCGCAGTTTGTTGCTCTGTATGGACTTACTTATTCTGTTTGTGGCTTTAGCTTCAAGAACATTATTTTCTGTGGAAGATGTAAATCTTTAAATAGAGAATCAGAATCAGCTTATTTGACCATGTGTGTTGAACACAGAAGGAATTTGACTCTGGCACAGTGGCTCTCAGTGTGCATGTACAATGTACTTCCGTCAGGCAATGAGTAAACAAGTAAACAAAATAAGACTTAGAGAACAAAAACAAGTGTGCAAAAAAAGGAAAACAGAATGTGAATTAGAAAGATAAAAATTAAGTACTTATAGAAATACTTATATAAACACACAGTTTAGATGGAGCACACAACAATATAGTGGCAAGAACAAAGTAAATGAACCCTTTGCAAAGACCTGGCTTTCTGCATTAATTTGTCATAAAATGTGATCTGATCTTCATCTAGGTCACTTGTACTGTATAGACAAACATAATGCACTTAAGCTACTAACACCAACACTAATTTATGCCTTAAACATTCACAGTGAATGGATAACATGGATACCTGATGAGGTTGACAGGGTTCTGGGCTTCATGTATGTGGGAGGTGGTTCAGGTTTGTCCAGGATAGCACCTAAAGGGACAGAGACAGTAGATAATAGTATAACTGAGGGCTAATTTTAACCAAAACAGTAGCTGCAATGAGTATAGTATGACCACTTGGCTAAGATGAAACTATTCTAATTACTGTAAGTCACACAGCTGTAAGTAATAGGACTCTGAACAAAAACATTGTAGTGATGTTGATGCAAGATTTGAAAGAAGGCCAGAAGAACAAAACTGAACTAAGCTCTAGTTTGGTCACAGGTCAGAATACCTGAAAAAGAAAGATTAGAACTGTGGAAAAATCCAGTTGGAATATTAATGTCAGTCTGATACAGTAGGAAACATGATCACATTGACCAAATGAAGACTGGATATAATGAAGCTAGTAGGAGATTTAATACCTGGTCAGGAATAAAATATTTTGTCATTTACAGGATTTGTTTTTTTTTTCATAAAACTTTAATATTGCATAGATTTCACACATATTAGTGCCAAAATGTGTTTTTGCATGTAGACACCAGCTAGCGAACTAATTCACAATTAATTTTGTTCCCACAAAGTTAGATTTAACCAGCCACATAAGAAGATGATTACATTATTCTGACCAATGATTTCCTGCATTTCCTGTTCCAGGCTTTTACTTTGTTACACTTGGCCTAGACCTCTTCTCTGCCCAGCTATACCATGGTCATTACCCTCACTGATGACTTTCATCTGTCTCATCAGTCTCTTCAGGTACTATGTATTTAAAGCCAAGACTTCACATTTACCAGTTACCAGATCATACCAGGAAAAAGTCCCAAACGTGTCTTCCCACACTCCAGCCCAGCATTCTTGGCTTTGCTTCTTGTTTTCTAAGTGTGTTCATAATTTTGCCAGACAGAGCTCTCTGTTGGACCTGACCTGTGTTAAGATGCTTCGTTCCCCACGTCTTGGGTCAGTAGATTTATGCCAAGATTCATGTTTACTATGCTGAAGTACAGACTCTAGTATTTCCTTTGATTAAAGAAATTCATTTGCTTCATTTTCATGTGCTGCACCCCTTGACTGCCTGTAAGGAGAGGGTGTTTTTTCCTTGTTGTTACTTTGGTTTTGTTCACTGGTAGGCCTAGGGTAGTTTGCCTCCGCTCCAGCCATGTGCCTTTATGTGCCCTGTTGTTCTCCTAATCTTGTTTTTTGCTCTGTCCTTGCATTTGGGTCCTAAAGTCAAGTACAAATCCTGACAGAAAGATCTGGCCACTATGGGCCCAGCAGCCAGATTATGAGAGAGCCTTGTTTTTTTCCTAAGGCTCAGCAGCCTGTTAATGTTAGCCTCAAGACATCTGCTGACCTCACAGAAAAAATATCTGATTGCTCCCCCGTGGAAAGATTGTTTTTTGGACTGGCCATGGGTTATGAACCTACCTGGTGTGCCACAATCGGTGGCTGATGCAGCCTCCCTCAGAGCTGATTTTGTAAAAGAACAGTATCCTCATGCAGAAGCAAGCATTAAGCCTGTTAGCTCATTGTCACGTTCCTGAGTTACCACAGCCTCGCCTGCACTTGAGCACACCAGGGATGTCTAGATCATCTCAATTTATTCAAAGTTGTTCATGATAATCTGAACATCCATTGTGTGTGGTGGAACTGGCATTACATTGTGTAATGTCTGCATTATTTTCAGAGTACAAGTACAGTGAAAACCTCAGAACAGCTGAAAGTAAAATACAAAAACTTTCTGGTAACTGCTATTGCTGTAGTATTTCTCTTAGCCCTCCTGCCACTGTTATTACAGTTTCTCTCCATAGTATCCAAATGATAAAGTTTTCAAACCAGTACTGACATTCTCCACAACATTTTATTTCTTCTGTACAATATCACAGTATTTCTCTTTTTTCCAAATAGCAACTAACACATTTCAGCAAATTATTAATTAGACCTACAGTTGACTACAATTAGAACAATTATTAATTCTATATCTTTTTGATCAAAATAGATCAGTTATTCCTCATTAAACAGTCTCATTACTGAACATTTAATTATTTCAGTGTTCACATCATCACATGCACATTAGTACATGAAGTTGTCAAAATACAGTATGTCAAGCCTTCAACTGTTATGAATCCCACATGCATAGCTTGTTGCCTCTGAGGGAATTCCCACCCCTTCAGGTTGTGCCTATTTTACAAGTGCAATTTTTTTCCATTTGAATACGAATTTACAACATGGTAAAATGTGCAAAAATTGAAGGGGTGGGAATTTTTTCTGAAGCAACTGTATAGGGTTGTTATAAATTATGCTGAATTTATACACTGTCCATATCTATTGTAAAAAAACTGTAATTGGCTTCAGGTCAATTAATACCTCTTTTTTTTAAAGGGCATAGTAAGAAGGCAGACGATGAAAGGAATGGGACCTGAGTCAAAGACAGGTAACGACTCTCACCGATACTGGGCTATAACGACTCAGTCATTAAAGAACATTGTTGACCTTCAAAGGACTGAAACACCACCGAGGGGCATAAATATCTCCGGCTCAACACAAGTCAATCAGAACTGATGAAGCCTTTTGGATGAGAGGTGGAACATCTCTGACCTAGAAATCTAGTCCAGTTGATTTTTTCTAAGTTTTTCTCAGATGAAAGGAATAGTTTCAGAACCAGGTACACTTTTAGAATAAGCTCTATAAATAGTAGTCCTTCCTAAATTTTCCGCATTACCAACCATATAAAAATTCCCCTCTCACCCCTACGGGGTGATGTGTGTGTCTTCCTCAACCTTGAGTTCTCTACCAGAGGTCTGGGAGTTCGAGGGTTCTGCACAGCATCTTAGCTGTACTTAGCACTGCAGTCTTCTGGACAGAGAGCTCTGATGTTGTTCCTGGGATCTGTCACAGCTCTGAGTGCCCCTGCCACCACTGGGACCACTTTGGTCTTCACCTTCTACATCCTCTCCAGTTCTTCTTTCAGGCCCTGGAACTTCTCCAGCTTCTCATACTCCTTCTCTGGGTTTCATCCAGGACAGCGGCCTTGACACTCACCAGGCCCTGTCCACTCTCTTTCTGACTGGTGTACAGTCTCTGGGTGTTGGACTTTGCGCGGAAGCCTCCATGCATTATGAGGAGTTTCCAGGTTTTCACAATGGTGGCCTCCATGTCCTTCGTTGGCCAGCGTTTGATGGTACCTGGACATTGCTGTCTTTCTTGTCTCCTCATCATGGTTCCCATGTGACTGTGGCATTCCAAGTTACTTATACATGGTCTATATGTCTGTCATGTGGTCCCTTGGTAGTTCTAACCCATCAGTCTTTACCACCTTCCCTCTTCTTATTAACTTCTACAGTCCTCACTGAATGTCCTTGTCAGGTTGATTAGTGAGCTGATGTCTCATTAATTCTTGGCATACAGCTTGATGTCATCCATGTAGAGGAGGTGGTTGATGGTAGTTCTCTTCTTGAACTTGTATCCATACCCACTTGGGATGATCTGACTGAAAAGGTTCAGGCCGATGCAAAAAATAGTGCATCCCCGTGGCATATGCCGCACTTGATGTTCACGTGTGCGATAGGTTTGGAGTTGACTTCTAGGGCTGATCTCCACAGTCCCATTGAGTTCTTGATAAAAGTCCTTAGTGTCCTGTTGACTTTGCATAGTGCCATTCCCAGATCCATGTGTGCCAGATAGGACCTTCCATGTTGCGGAGATATGTTCTCACATATCAGCCGAAGGATGTATGATACCATCCAACTACCGCCCAATAACCTGCTTCTGTACAACATGGAAGCTCCTGCCAGGCATCATAGCAGCTAAGATGAACAGGCACATGGCTCAATATATGAGTAGCACCCAGAAAGGAATTGGTAGTAACACCAGAGGAGCAAAGCACCAGCTACTGGTTAATAAAGTAGTCACTTGAGACTGCAAGACCAGACATACCAGCCTGTGCACTGCCTGGGAGAGTGGCTCCAACAGATCCCAGGAACAATATCTGAGATCTCTATCCAGAAGAGTGCAGTCCTAGGAACAGCTAAGATACTGCGCAGGACCCTCAAGCTCCCAGGCCTCTGGTAGAGGACCCAAGCTTGAAGGAAGGAAGGAAAGACTGTCCCGAAGTGGGGAATTTATATATGTATGTATATAATGTGTGTATATATATGTATATATGTATTATGCAACAATATAAGGCTCTAACAATTCACTTAACTGACTAAAATGGTATTGTTAGCCCAAAGAGTTCTGTCGATTTCTCAGTACTGCTTTTCTTTTTAAGCTCATGTCTTAACATCATTACTCTGGGTCACTTCTTGTTCTGAATCTGAGTTTACTGTAATTAAGCTGAGGTTATCTTGTTTACAATGAATAAACCTGAGAACAAGCCTCCTTCCAAGTAGGTTTGAGATTATGGACATGTTACCATGACAGAAAGGCTTTTTGGTTACTTGTCACTAATTTCATTTTAAGATGCAAACAACATATGTGAATTATCAGTTTCTGTTTACTCCTTTACAGTGTTATCAAACAAGTACACTTTCACAGTATTTCATTTGAATTTGGAGTGCAAATTACTGAACATTCTTACAAAACAAATTTCAAAAGAAAAAAAATTAGATAAATCTAAAATGTTATCCAAAAGTACTGAAAGTTCAGATGTGGAGAGGGATAACAAATAATATAATATAAATATTAAATACAAAAACATACATTTACCTTCAGAGTTGGCCTTTCTCAGCTCCTCATCTTTACTCTACAAAAGAAACATTGACAGCACAAAAAGCTATTTACTACATGATGAAGCAATCACAAGTAGAATACTTGTATTACTGTAGTTGCTGTTGCACTTTGTAATATCAGTAATAATACCAATACTCTAAAAATCTATAATTGAGAGAAGACATGATATTGCATTCTTTGATGACTACAACTACATGAGAAAATTAGTGAATTCTACATTTACACTGTGCAACTTGATCTTAAAGTAGTAATAGACAAGTATTCACCACAGGACAAAGGACAGATTCAAGGATAATTCCAAATTGTTTTTGTATTCATTGCTTTGGTCACCCAGGTTATTTATCATCAAATGCATCAAATGCAGACACAGCCCTTAACCTTTTAACCCTTAACCTGTTAAAAGCAGCTGGTCAGTCATGTTCACTCAAAAACATGTATACCTGGCTCATCTTGGTGTCAGCAGGTGGAGTTTTGGCCACACCCATTCTGTGCAGCATCATCTGAAGCCTCTGTTCAAAACTAGATGTGCTCTCAGACACATGCTTCTGAAATACAATACATAAACATTTAGAAGAGATAAAGGTGAATTCTATGAAATGGAAATATCAAGGCACTATAAAGCCATCAGAAAAAAGGTGGTGACAGATGCTGATCTAACCAGGGCTGTTTCTGGACATTTTGCTGCTCTAGACAATTTGTTCTATTGGCACCTCTGAGGGTATTAATCTTTTTATTACAATATTTAATGATCATTTTATTGACTTTATTATACAACCCCATTTCCAAAAAAGCTGGGATGTGGTGTCAAATGTAAATAAAAACAGAATGCAATGATTTGAAAATCAATAAAAACCAACATTTTATTGAAATTAGTACAAAGACAATGTATCAAACATTGAAACCATAGCCTGAATGCACAGTAAAACGATCAATGCATCACCAGTTCTCTCCAGTACGCAAAAGTGAAGTAAAAATATTGTGAATATGGTGGGTGCCACCTTGGCGTTGTGCAACCGGATTCTGCACAGTACTGACAAAAAGCGGAGTCACGGCATCAGCCTGCCAATCAAAGCTGTCAGGTAATCTGAAATATATCCATTTTTATATAATCAAATCACTTACTGAAAAGAAACCTAGAATAAAAAGAGCACTTAGTTGCCTCAGACTTTCTCTCTGATACCTAATTTTAAATGTCATTTGCTGAGCACATACAGCTGCTGTCCCTAACCTGAAAAAAAAAACAGTATTTGTGGCAGAAACTGACACCTAATATAACTAAGGCTCTTTTACTGACACTGACACTGAGTAGGGAAATTTTTATGTTGATTTTGTCAGACCTCATAATCATAAAATAAAGATCTGATCAGCAGCAGAGTGCAGCCACGAATGACTCTGCATTTAAAAGGTAGCACAGTAGTATGTGGTACAATGATGTTGTTGTTCGATTGTCTGACAAGAGAAACAGGAAAAGATGTAAAGGAGAAAAACAAGACTGGTTTGTGTTATAACAGTATAGATGATCACAGAGGGTGGAAGAGGACTGTAACCAGCTCGTCTGTCCCATTTCTTACTCGATGTTGTCTATGAATCACACTTATGTTGTTTGCCAACTGAAACAAGGTTGACAAAGAAGAGATTCAGACATTTTCCTGTTGTTGCTGAAGACACAGATCTTTGTGTGGATGTAGTATTAAATAATTTTGTAATTGCCAACCCTGACAAAAGAAGCATTTTATTCAGAGGAACTATTTTACACATGTAAATTGGAAAACAACTGCAATGACTTAGCCAATGACAACAGTATTTGTGTGAAAGTAAGAGGAGCAGAGTGTGAGTATGACATCACTGTGTTGTTCTGCTGGTGGTGTTAGTGTAGTGAAAATGCTTACTGTATTATGTTGAATTTACCATGACAGGTAAACATGAAGGAAGTTTTAAGTTTGCATTAACAGCAAATGGCATCAACAAGAAATTCAAACAAGGGCAGATCAAAGAACAGGCAAATCCAAAATAAATTCATGTCTCTAATATAAGCCTGTTTGCTTGTTTGCTGTTTCATTGCCATCAAGGGTTCAACCTTCTCCTGTGATCGGACTGTGTGTATGTGTTCAGTGTAGTGTCAGACTGACCTTAATGTGTGCGTTATCTTTGTCTTCAGGTTCAGATCCCGTCAGCAGTATGAGACTCTGGCTCTTGCCCTCCCTCAGTGACCTCTTGGTCACCTTCAGTCTCCTCTCTCCATATGGAGTCCCTCCCAACTTCATCTCCTTTGTCAGCACACTGCTCCTCTCCTCCACCGTTATAGGGGAAGTGTCCACCGGACTGGGGCTGCAACCTGGCAAGACAGAAACCACCTCTCCTTCCAGGCTGGAAAGCATAGCAGGTGTGATGTCAGGGCTTGTGGTGAGAGTGGGGTAGGAGGGAAGGGTTTCACTGCGAGGTGTTGTCATGGTTAATATCTTGGCAGGTGCCATTACATCCCTTGCATTGCCTGAGGGACAGTCGCTGGTGGCACAAGTTCCTTCTGTGGCGGCAGCATCATTAGAAATGTTAGCATCTTCCAATGACCGTGCCCCTCTCTCCTTCTCTCTCTCTTTGTCCCTCTCCTTCACCTCCCGGGCGGGTCGAATGAGATCTACAATGGAGGTCCTTTTGACTTTCATGCACTCTCCTCCCTCTCCCCCTCCTCCCCCCTTGATGGCTCGACCTGTTCGAGCCCTCTTGAAGGCAAAGAAGTCGCCAAACTTTTTCTTTATGTTTTTGGTGGGAAGTGTGGCCATGGTGGAGGTAACAGAAGAGGGAGCGGGGGGGGCAAAGGATGTAGAGGAAGGTGGAACATCAGTGGAAGTCAATGATGTGTCAGGACATGGGACGGAGGGAGAGGTGACAGTGGTGGCGGTGGAGAAGGTGATATTCTCAGATGAAGTGGAAAAAGGGGTTGAGGCTGAGGGGGCGGGGCTTGGCTCTGGGGGAGTGGCATGAACAGGGTCTGACTCCTCCCACCAGCCTTTTCTGCAGCAGGGAGACAGCAGAAGGAGCAACAGACAAGAAGAGACACTCAGTACTACAACTACAGGACTCAAGACACATGCTCAGTTCAGGTAAGGTCATGAAAACAGCACACAGAGTGTCTATGGACAAATAGACAAAACATAAATGTCGATTATAAAGAAACCATAAAAGATATCAAGATGATTTTTGCACCATTGGTAGCTGAACGTCTCACGAGTTGAATAAAGTTGAAATGGTGTTTCTAGCCCAAGGTATGCCGGAGACATTAAGCTTCCAACTTTGCCCCATTCATTTCCAATGGGGAAAAATATGATGAAAAAATCTGAATAGCCTAAAAAGTATAGATGATCATGGCCTCTTTAAAAGACAAAAGATCAGAAAGGCACCAGGGCCAGATGGTGTGACCCCCTCCTGCCTGAAAGTGTGCACTGATCAGCTGGCCTCCATCTTCACACTTATCTTCAACAGGTCACTGGAGCTGTGTGAACGACTACAGACCTGTCGCCCTGACATCTGTAGTTATGAAGTCCTTTGAAAGACTGGTGTTGGCCCACCTGAAGGACACCGTAGACCCCCTGCAGTTCGCCTATCAGGCAAACAGGTCAGTGGACAATGCAGTGAACATGACACTGCATTACATCCTGCAACACCATGCATGGGCCCTGTTTGTGGACCTCATCTTGGCATTCAACACCATCATCCCGGACATGCTCCACTCCAAACTGACCCAGCTCACTGTGCCTGCCCCCACCTGTCAGTGGATTACCAACTTTCTAACAGACAGGAAGCAGCAGGTGAGGCTGGGGAAAACCACATCCAGCACCCGGACAATAAGCACAGGCACCCCCCAGGGATGTGTGCTCTTCCCTCTGCTGTTTCCACTCTACACCAATGACTGCATCTCGAAGGACCAGTCTGTCAAGCTCCTAAAGTTTGCAGATGACACAACGGTCATTGGTCTCATCCAAGACAATAACAAGTCAGCCTACAGACAGGAGGTTGAACAGCTGGTCCTGTGGTGTAGCCGCAACAACTTGGAGCTGAACACGCTCAAAACAGTGGAGATGACAGCGGACTACAGGAAGAGCCCCCGCCCATCCCCCAATACTTGGCAGCACTGTATCAGCAGTAAAGTCCTACAAGTTCAGTTCCTGGGCTCCACTATCTCCCAGGACCTGAGGTGGACGTCCAACATCAAGACCATCACCAAGAAGGCACAGCAGAGGATGTACTTCCTGCGCCAGCTCAGGAAGTTCGACCTGCCCCAGGAGCTGCTGATACAGTTCTACAGAGGAATCATCGAGTCGGTTCTCTGCACCTCCATCACTGTCTGGTTTGGCTCAGCAACCAAACAGGACAAGTACAGACTTCAGCAGAGCGTTACAGGTCACTGTGCACCAAGACAACCAGGCACAGGGACAGTTTCTTCCCCCAGGCTGTCACTCTGATGAACACTTAACCAATGACAGTATGATTGGACAATAACCCTCAGTGCAATACCTGTAAATATATACATTGTACAGATTATACAAACATGTACAGGTCTCTATTTTTAAGTACTCTATTTTTATCCCTATTTACCTAATTTCAACAAACATTCCTTTGTTGTCTGCATTGTTTGCACTGGTTGTTGCTGTTAATACTGCTGTTTTGTTATATTACACAGCCTTATGCTGGTTACTGTTTGCACATTGAGAGCCAATGTATCTGAGGCAAATTCCTCGTGTGTCCAACACACCTGGCCAATAAAGCTGATTCTGATTCTGATTTGTGGATCCAGCGCTTTCATCGTGTCCCCTAAATGAAAGTTCCTGTTTACCCAAAAATATGGCACTATTTATCAGTCTATTTTATATTTCCCTATTTTTCTTCACCTTTTCATTGTGGAGCTCCATTTCCCTGTGCACTTGTTTACTGAGCTGTAGATTCACTTGGCTTTCCCCAAAAGATTTCAGTGCCATTGCTTGTAAGCGTCTGGCCATCTTGCTGCTGCCTTGGTTAGACAGCTCAAGTTTGCAAACCTAGTGTGGCTCGAAAAACACCAAGTCAATCAATTGCAAATAACAGGCATTCCCAGCAATACAATTTGCAGTGCTCCTTGGACAGGCTTGCTAGCTTCGGGGTTGGCTGACCTTTGCTCACAATGTCCAGCTCATCTTGAAAATGGGTTTGTAAGTATATCTGACTGAATCAATTCCTTCTCCTCTGTCAGCTTTTGTGGGTTGAAAAACAACTATTAAATCTACATGAATAAAATTCAGTTTATGCAGTTCACTACAGATGTGGTTTGGTAGCTCTGACTAGTAACTCTCTGACCATCCAATCAAAGGACGTGAAAATGCCCATGTTATTGTACACCTGCTAGATGCTCCCAGTGTCACCAACTCAAAATCTGATTGGTTAAAGCAACAGTTTCAATGCCACTGATATTAAGCTACAGACACCTGGACTGTTGATTCTGAAGGCCTCAAGGCAGATTTCTTTGACCCTGGCAACACATGATGGCTGAAATATGACTCTCTGGCTCTAACATAAACATACATTATGGGAAGTAACGCAACTAAGAGAAAAGCTATGAAATGAAGAGAATAGACTACTGGGAATAATTTAATACACATTCATGGAAAACATATATTAAAATGTAAGTCAGTGATTCTATTAGTGTTTAGGCCAGCAGAGAAGGCTTTGCTGGCCCTGATGGCCCACCACTGCCAAATACCAACCGAGTATGTAAACCTTTGACCCAGTGTGCTGAGATAAATTTTTTTCTCTACTATTATTCTGACATTTCACATTCTTAAAATGAAGCAGTGATCCTAACTGACCTAAAACAGGAATGTTTCTAGGATTAAATGTCAGGGATTGTGAAAAACTGAGTTTAAATGGATTTGACTGAGGTGTATGGTGGGGATAGCCTTTGGAGACACGTGGCGGGGCTTGCAGACACCTACTAATGAGCATGCAGAGAGAAGTGAAAGTGAGACTGAGGGAGAGTAGGGATGCTTACAGGAAGAAACTGGAGTACAAGCTCCAGCAAAACAATGTATGAACTGTTTAGTCATGGAAAAAGATCTGGTGATCATGGGTTTCAAGAATAAGGGGGATGAGACTGAGGGAACCTTGAGCAGAGCCAGTGAATTGAACATGTTCTTCAACAGATTCAACACAGGACTCCCAGCTGACCCCTCAAAACTAGCAGCTTACACTGGCCTTATCCACAGTCCCCAACCTCTATCACAGACTTAAACAAAGCTCTACCACCACCACACCCAGCAACATGGAGGCTCCCTCTACCTGCCTCACTCTCCTCCCTGTTTTCCAAGAGAGTTCTGGTGCCAAGCAGAGAAGCTGGAAGCCGGAAAGGCAGCTGAGAGACGGAACCAGAAGAGGGCTACAGGTCCTGATGGAGTCAGCCTTGCAGGCCTGTGTTGACCAGCTGAGAGGGATTCTACAGCATCTCTTTAACCTTAGCCTGAGTCAGGAGAAGGTCCTGGCGTTGTGGAAGACATCCTGCTTTGTGCCTGTACACCTCTGACTTTACAACAGCTGTGAGCTCTGTCATCTGCAGAGGTTTTCAGGTGACTGACGTTGTGAGATCAGACTGTTGTTAAAAAATATTTATATCCAAGCTATCATGTCTTACCAGTTTGAAAATCAGCAGTGTGGGTTTGCTCACCACTGTCACTCACTATTTGACTATGTCTACTATTTGAGTAGAGGAAAGGGGTCAGAATTCACTCAATCTTGGCTTTTAGTCATTAGAAAAATTCAATATTGATAAATATGTAAACTTTAGTCCAAACTCTGTCCTTAACAAATATCATTCTTATAATCCAACTGTAAGTCTGTGTGTGTATGCATATGCATGTGCATGCACCTTGTATTGCTTGCACTGAGGAGACCAAACCCTGTTTACACACTCACAGTGTGGGGACTTCTCACTGAACTTAGGGTGACAACTTGATTTAAGGTTAGGGTGAGGTTCAGATTAGGGTAAGGGTTATGGTTAGGGTAACTATCCAGGAAATATAAATTTATTTAAAATCCCCATGAAGAATGAAAACAAACATATATATGTGTGTGTGTGTTAGTTCAACTCACAGGGCATAGTCAGGGAGGATTTTCTTGGTGAAAAACTCCTCTACTCCTTCATCCACTCTGCCCATCCCCTCACTGGTTTCATTCTCTACCTTTGACACTGGCTCCTGTAACAAAAAACACAGCAGTATGTATGCCTTGCATTGTGTGTGTTTGTACGAGTGTGTTTATGTTTATGAAAACACACACCTATTGAGATGAAACAAAAAAATACACAAAAATGCATTCTATCTGTTTTCCAGACCAAAATGTGAGTGACAGCATATTTAACAGCAGTTGTGTAAGATGTTTATGAAGTAGTTCATTAACTTGCATAATCTGCAATAAAATGGAAAAACCAGACAAAATGTGTGGTTTTGATTATGACTTCTTGTTTGAGGAGGAGAGTGAAACTGTATCATTCATTTTGTTTTTGTTCATAGAAATCCAGTTTATAGAAAAGGCAAAGCCACAGCAGATAGAATGGTGGGTGGAGAGATGTGGCCAGGGACCGGAAACTCTGTGGAACAAAGCTAATCAAAACATGCTTGAATCAAAAAATATATAGTCACAGCACTTCCATTCCCCGCATACAAAACAACTTACTATAACACATTAAATCCATAACTTTGGAATTACTTAAAACTAGCCTTTATTTTTGAAAGAGCATTACTCTTCCTTTGTAAATTGGTGTCATAAAAATTAGGCCTGCTTATTAATGTTTTTTCATTTCTTTTTGCAGTGCTCTTGTATATGTTTCATGCATAGTTTGTGCAGTATAATTATTTGCCAGGGCCCACATGAAAGTGAGATGGGGTGTGTCATGGGGCTTATTCTTTATACCATGGGAACATTTCTAATTTAATCTAATTTATTTTATTGTTCCTAGCTCCTTGAGCCTGGGACAGCATCTTCAAGGATGTCCCAAATGTCTTATTCCTCATCTGAGGAGTGAGGAGGCTGTCTGGAGGAGCCATGAACAAGGACACCTGAGAATATCCTTCAAAGATGCTTTTATGCACCAACACACCCTTTATCAGAAATCAGTTGTTGATTGGATGTTTTAGATGAAGGATTGGAGGAAATGAAGTCTCATGTATGTCGACATGTTTCCTTGATTCTTGATTCTGGTGTTTAATCCGTTTTATTTGCCCCAAAGGGACATTGTTTAACTTGTTGTTTTATGCTATTTGTATCTTGATGGAAGTTTTTATTGCTCCGATTTTGGAAATTTGTGTTTTATTCTTGCTTAAGTTTTATTTTTCTAGTATTGTTTTTTAATTGATACATGTGTTCTATTGTGCAGCACTTTGTGCTCCCCGGAGTTGTAAAGTGCTATATAGATAAAGCTTTATTACTGATTCCTCTCTCCTCACATCTTATGTGGGTGGGACTAAGACAAGGAAAAGACACAAGTGAGGGAAATGGATGCAATTAAGGAAATTTGGATTTGCCCAATATATGTGGCCTAAAACATTTTATAAAAAACTTTTAAAAGTTTTAAATTTTCTGTTATTCTATTGTTTTTAGAATTTCTCAGTGAGATAATGTCAACAGCGCCTAGTTGATTAATCAACATCAAATGTCATATAGTCTTAATGGGAACTACAAACAGTGACTGAATCAGAAGACACACAACATGAATAGCCACCTCACACTATGTCATTTTATCACCTAGCTGTCAGCATCACTTGACCCAGGATGGAATAGTCCAGCTTGGTCTGATCAGCTATGATGTGCAAATATAACAATATAATCAGTCCAACAATCATAAACATGTGTTGCCTTCTTCAGCCAAAAGTGTGTCCACCAGATACAGTAACACAAAACACTACTGCAGGCTTAATGGGAACTAAAAGTCACAATCATATTACAACAATAGCTTACAAGTTCTTGAATCAATCTGAAAATATCACTTTTGTTTTAAGGCATATCATGTCCCGACTCCTTATACTAAACTGTATTTCAGACACCAGGTCCAGTGTAATCAGGTCCTTTATGCTTCAAAACTTTGGTTCTCTGTCCGCCCAGTCATCAGTCTGTGCATCTAGCATCTCTACTTGCTCATTCCTATTAAATCACATGGTAACATTTAGGAAAAATGCATTTGTGTCAGTTTAAGTTTGTGCGAGTCGGATGGAAAGAAAATGAGAAAAAGAATCTTCTCAGTATCAGACATAATTAAACAATTTCTTACAACTCTAAAAGCATTCGTTATTATGAAAACTGAATTAATTAAAGTTTCCCCGAACTCTGCTGAATCTCCCACTATGTTGTTCAGACATCCCCAAACTGGATTGTTTCTTCACAGACAAGTTGTAAACCTGTTTAGTCTATGAGAGAAAAGCAATGTCAGTGCAGCTTAAATTTTATTCTGCTATATGAAAAATATGACATTTTATATTAAATCAACAGTGAGTATTGATATGTTTCCCATCCTGTTAAAGTAACTGTAACTAAGTTTAGGCAGACTTAATTTAATATAAAGCATTTGACATAAATGAAACCTTTCGTGCACTGTACAGGTATACAGTATTTGTATTAAACATGATTCATGATATACAATGAAAAGTTCTCATTATTTTCAGACAATTTATAGTTAGAATAAGATCAATAAACTATTATTAGGTTAATCGATAATGAAATTAGTCACTAATTACAGCCCTAGTTTGTTCGAGTAACTTCATATTTTTCTGCCATAGTTTCATGACAAAATTAACGCTGATCCCAAGATGATTAGTCACTCCAGATAAATTGAAATGACATAGCTTTTTGTTTCTCTCATTCATCTTTGTAGTAAAACAAGAAAAACTAGACTACAGAACATAACTGTGTTATAACAAACATACTGCAGTGTTGATATGGTTAGATTTTGGGAGCAAAAAGCATAAGAAAGGTTTGCCAAGGTGTCTAAATAAAAGGACTGATTCAGAAGATAGCAGTCTCCTACGCATGATGCAATATTCTTTGTAGGAAAAGAGTTTGAAACAAACTGTCCATTAACACACTGGCATATTTTTAACCTCAATCCAATCTTAAATCAGTTTTTAATGATCCTCAGTTTATAAGCATTCTCCAAATTTTTGTAACTTTCTAGTATATGCTGACCTTCCACCTGAACAACCTCCTGAGTCACAGCCGCCCCCACAGGTGACCACTTGGGGTACCTTCCCTTAGATATGCTGCTATAGGCCTAGACCAGGGGATTTCAACCAGTGGTCCATGGCCCACTGGTGGCCCTCAAAGGCAGTGCAGGTGGTCCCTGACCATGCAGTCAATAATGTAGATTCACTGTAGGAATGTTTTTAAAAACACATTTCCATGTATTACTTATTGTGCATACTCTAATTCATACAAATACAATTTAGAAAAGCCAAGGTGACATTCAAGGTTAAAATGGTGCTTAGTCTATCCACCCCACAGCACAGCCCCATGGGCTACTTCTTATTCAAAATGGTGATCCCTGGGGCACAATTAGTTGAAATTCCCTGGCCTAGACTGCTGGGGGTCCTCCCATGATGCACTGAGCACGTCTCCATACTTTTATGTACTGTATAATAGTGTAAAATCTAGATCTTGATGGGGAAACAGATTTCAACACAACACCGGCACATTCACAAACTATTCTCTTGTTTTTAGAAAGAGGCTCTCTGGTTTTATCGTTCTGATAATTACAGAGTTATGATGCTTTGTACAAAGTCCAAGTAATGTCCAAAGTGTTCACACTGAGCTAGTGGACATGTTGGCGATATGACTCAGTGTACATTATGGATTCAAAAATGATCAATTTAACATTAAATCTACTAATAAAATAGTTAAATCTACTTTCTGAAGCCGCAGTATCTAAATCTTTGACATAGATGTTTTTTTTAAATGAAAATGACTGCATTAGGGTTAGCTGCTAGTATTTTAGCTGCTCATGTCAAGTGAAAGTGTTTTAATGAAAAGATGAGCATTTCTAGCTTCTGAAAGGTCACAGTGCTTTGCAGTTGAGAGCAAGAATGGGAGTGAGTAGCTCTCTTCAAACAGTAGAGTTTGTAACAGCAACTTAATTTACTGAGGAGAATGAGTGTGTTGTATAATCTCAGCTCTTCCATCTCTCTTTCTCTCTCCGTCATTCAGTGAAAATGTGCCTGTCCTTCATTCTCTGCCAGTTCCTTTACATCCACCTGGGCTTTGGTACAACATGCATGACACTGTCACACAACTGTTTGCATACAAACTCTCCCTCTGCCACTTGCATGCCCCTCCCTTTCTCTCACACACATGTTACCAAGGGGCAACAGAGCTGTCTCCACACACCACCCAGGCACCTACACCATGCATGTGGACGGACATACTACAATATGTCAGTAAATAACGCAACATATATATTAAGTCATAACCTGGTCTGTTCAAGTAAATCTGTGTCAACAACCTTTGACATTCTATCAAAATAAGTTTTGTTATTTACAGCAACTACTTTTGATGTGGTTACGTTGGCATCTTTTGCTCAGTGTTTGGCTGCTCTCTGCTTACCCAGCATGCACGCTGAATGAACAGCAGGAAAGCAAACTTCTCCCATGGGTGTACAAACACACAAGTCAGGGCAATAGCACACTGCATACACCACAGGCCTGACAAGACAGACTAGAGCAGGTGGAAGTAGAGATTTACCAGGCAGTAGATGGGCTGGAGAGATGGTGCAATATGTGGTCACTCCAAAAAACCGTTTTACAGTGAAGATTGATTGACACCTAGAAAACAATCCTGTGCACAGTTGCATGCTGATACATCCACCAGTGCCAAACCCAAGCAGGACAATAAATAGTGTTGGGAAGGAACTAGTTACTGTAATCCATCCATCCATCCATCCATCCATTTTCCTCCGCTTATCTGGAACCGGGTCGCGGGGGCAGCCATCTAAGCAAAGATGCCCAGACTTCCCTCTCTCCAGACACTTCCTCCAGCTTCTCCGGGGGAATGCCAATGCATTCCCAGGCCAGCCGAGAGACATAGTCCCTCCAGCGTGTCCTGGGTCTTCCCTGGGGCCTCCTCCCGGTGGGACATGCCCAGAACCCCTCCCTAGGAAGGCGCCCAGGAGGCATCCGAAACAGGTGCCCGAGCCACCTCAGCTGGCTCTTCTCGA